CAGCTCTAATTTTGGCCTGAAACACACCTTTGTCACCTCAGAAAACAAAATACTCTAGGGTATTCCTAAAAACGTCCACATTATTTTCCCAAGTTTTCTGGAAATCAGGCCATCCAATGATTCAGTAGTTGGGTACCCCTTTCGACTTCCAGTCAAGCAATGCACCTGCACTCAATGTTGACTCTAAAGCATACTCCACCTGTGGCACCAGACTTTTCAGGCCATTATCAAAATAAACCTGATAAAATTGAAGGTGAGGAACAAGACGGCCTGTTCTTGATCTGAAGGCATTGTGTTCTGCGAGCCATTCCTTACGCCTTTTTCTTCTTAGCAGATTAAACATGTAACCCTAATGGCGTTCATTCCTCCAACAGGTTTTGAAATGAGAAAGGCCAGAGATAATGCACATGTGACTTTTTATTCAGGAGTGCTTACTTTGCTCAGGGCTTTTTTTGCCAGAATCACTACTTTACTACACTTAACCACTTGCTGCTGGGGAACCCCGTTTCGAGCACCATGGGTTTATACGCAGAGCCGGGCTGCTCGAAATCAGACAAAAGAGCTGCTCCGTGTAAGACAGTACTTGGAACAAAAGACCTGCTGCTGGGAATTGCCATCATTTTTCGGCTTGCATTTTTTGAAGGTAATTCATCACTATTTTTATACAGAATACCACTGTTTTGGGCATAGCCTCCCGCGGATTAGCGCCGCGGACAAAAGTGCTTTAGGGCCCCATTGATGAGCAACGAAGCACAGCTGCAGGCTAGTCCAGCCACGTTTGAAAAGACGCCACTCGCGTTCACTGGGGACAAAGGAAATTAGTAACACCTCATAATTCTGGGCTCTCTTTACAGGGTGGCAGGCCTGGCTGAAATACTCAGGAGTCAATGGAGGTTGCCTGTCAGCTTAGAGTAGCCACCAAACAGTCATTTGTGTGGGTGTAAATGTCCATTAAATGAAATGATGAATTTTTGAAGAATTTTGAAAACTGAAAATCTTGAAAATGGCCCATATGTGTGCGCTGCATTTTTAAAAGCAACTGGCAGCAAGTGGTTAAGAATTCTCGCTTAACTTTTTAGGCTTTTAAAGGATGTGTTTGTGGTGTTATTAAGCATCAAATATTCACTCTTTTTAATGTGTGTTGGACTATCCAGAGAGGATTTAAGGACAGCTTAACCGTAACAATTCTTTGCCTGTAAACTATATAAAATTAGGGACCTAGGGACTATACAATCAAAGATGTTATGAGTTGATTCTAAAAGTGATTAGTTAGATTGAAAGCCTTATGTTTTACAAGAACATTTCAAAGCTAATGGTGATAGTGACGTGTGAAAATGAGAGATCAATCGACTCCCATGTTATGTACAAACATAGAAATCAAATATCACAGCAGCTCTTGTCTACAGTCAAGCAAAAAGCCTTCTCTGTTTTCTCACTCTCTGACATTAGCCATTAGATGGTTTTATGGTGTTAGTTAAATACTTTCTTCTAATTACATTATGGGGGATTTGTGCACCGTTCTTAGGTATTAAAAAATCCCTCCCTCATCACTGTAGCCCATTGGACAGGACCTATTGTGCATTATTCAGTAAACATCTGGGGAATCAGCCAATAGCCAATCAGATTGCTTGATTGTGCCCCAACTGGGCTTCTCTTGTTCCCTGTGACTCGCATACTGAGATTCGCACAGAGGAGCTTCAGGGTAGTGTTGACTGCACTTTGTGATCACTGGGAGTCTCAGAGCCGAGCAGATTTTAGCAGCAAGAGTCAGTCAAGACGACTTCCTCATCTCACCATGAATTCAACTCAAGGTGATGCTGGCCCGAATGCCTACAATGACTCGGATTCCCTCATGGTGTGGGGCGACATCACAGATGACGGAGGTGTCCAAACGATCATCTCTGTCACCACTTTCCTCTTGACAGTTTTGCTGCTAACACTGAACCCACTTTGTCTGGTCACTCTGCGCCATGTTGACAGCATCCCTGAAGCCACCAAAGTTTTCCTGCAATCGCTCACCTCAGCCGATCTTTTAATGGGAGTAACTCTAGCTTTTCCGATGACAGTCTCTGCCCTGGCTGGGACCTGGGTATTTGGAAATGCTCTCTGTGCACTACAAGCATTCGTGGTCTCGATATTTAGCCACAGTGCTGTGTTCTCCTTGCTGCTTCTCACTATAGATCGCTACATTTCAGTGGTGTATGCACTTCAGTACTCATCGCTCGCTACTGCCAAGAGGGCTTGGATTGCTGTTTCCTGTGCCTGGGGTGTATCTGTGTTCCGGCAGATTTGGATATGCTCTGAATCAAGCTGGATCCCCCATTATCATGATCCCAGCCTGCAGTGTTTTTTCTATCCGTCAACTGCAGCTCTCTGGGTCTCCTTCGGTATCATGGTAGGCACAGCCTGTGTCATCATAGCTATGTACATGAGACTGTTCAGGATTTCACATCGTCACGCCCGGCGCATCCAAGCCGACCACCAAGTTGTCGGAGGGAGGAATCGCCCAGCAAAACCTAACAGAAAGTCTCTGAACACCTTTCTCATCATAACTTTAACAAGCATGCTCTGTCTTCTCATACCAGCAGCATACATCAGTTTATTCTATGTTTTTCCTTCGGTCCCCAAGTTTGTACACACTTCCCAACTGTTTATATTTACCATGTCAAACCTGCCCCTTTTGACAAGTGGTTGGCTGAATGTTGCTATCTATTACCTTAGGAATAAGGACATTCGCCAAGCAATGCACGCTGTCTTGATATCAAGCTTTACATTCTTCAAACGGCTCTGTCTAAACCGAGGATTTACCTCAGACTAGAATGTAACTCTTTTTCAAGTGTTGTTATCAGTAGAAAGCACTGCAAAGCCGAGTTGGAAGCAAGTCAATTTTCCAAGTCCAAGTCAGGTCAAAACTCAATTTTTGCATGTCAAAGCCAAGTGACAAGTCATTTGGTCAAGTGACAAGTCATTTGATGACAGGTCAAGTCAAGTCACACATAAATAGATCCAAGAACAAGTCAAGTCGCATGATGTGTGATTGCAAGCCACGGCCTTGTCTTGGTTCCTAGACCTTCTGTATAGTTCATTCTGCGATCCAGGACACTGACCACACGTGAAAGCCTTAGATATTTGTCTGACCAGGGGTGGCAACAGCCTGTCATTGAATTTGAACAAAAGTACCAGGAATGATGAATGCTAAAAATGAAATTTGCAAAAACTGACAAAGAAATTGGTCATTTTGTTATGATACATGTAACTTTGGTGACCGTATAGTCACGATAACCCTTGTTTGGCCATTTGCTATGAAAACCAATCTTACTTGACAATAAGTGGTGAAGTAAGGCACCTACAGTGTAGTTACAATACTGTTGGTCACGGATGTTGATTCTAAAAGTGACAAGTTAGATTAAAGGCTTATGTTTACAAGAACATTTCAAAGCTAATAATGATAATGACTTGTGAAAATAAGAGATCAATCAACTCCCATTTTATTTGCAAATATAGAAATCTAATAGCAGCTCTTGTCTACAGTCAAGCAAAAGCCTTCTCTGTTTGCTCA